GGACGGACATTCTTAGGTGCGTTCCATATTTGAAGCCGCCCAAGAATTTATACAGTTTATGGGGCTTTTGAAGCTTGCTTCTGCGCCTCATAAAGTTATTGAAAAAACAATTGAGCTTTGATACACTGTAATATTGGGTAGGTATGGTCAATTTTTTCCATTTTTGTTTAGGTACTAAAGCATCACCCATTTAAACACGTTTAAATTTTGTGCATTTATAGTTTATGAGGAATGAGCAAAAAGCTAATTTTTTATTCCTGTTTCAGGCGTTCACAGTTTATGTAGTACTGTAGACTTGTCCTTCGATCGATTTGGCCCATTTTCCATGACCAACGTGCGTGCAAGAGTTTCCAATCTTTCTTCTTCAAAGTTTGCAGTCGATAGCTTCATTTCTGCGGCCAGAAGAATGTTTACGACGGGCGTATAGACGGACATGTTTAAATCGATTCAGAATTTGATGCTTTGTGCGGGTGTCCGCAGCTTCCTTCTGAACGTTTTGGCAAAATGAATGTACCCCCCGTCATTCTTCGTTGATGGACATAAAAATACCTTTTAGAAAACACTTTTATATCTGATATGGGTAAACGCAAGCGACATATTCCATTTAGACTGGAAAAAACTTTTTAAGTAGACTACTTTGCGATAATCACCTGCAGTCAAAGTATGGCTTTGCAAGCATTTATTAGGAAGACTTTCCGAAAAAAGCATTTTGGTCTTTTAAAACTCTGTCAAAGGCATTTTCACATAGATTGACGTGAAGCTTAGATAGATGCTTACTTTGACAAACTTTTGTGAGAGCCTTCTTCAAGCTCTGTGAGGAGAGCTGGTAGATGTCTCTACTACTTAAATACGTATTTTTTCTTCCACACCCATGTCTAGCCCATTGACAATTAGTGCTAATGAGTTTCTCATTGTCTGCTTTCATCTTAAGTATTTTATTAGTAGGATTCTTCTACTTAGCGGTGACGTTACTCTAATGAGTACACATCTTGTGTTTCTCGAAATTAAAATTTCTTACCATTTTCTTCGCAAAGTAAGCGTTTACTTACACTCTGGCGATGACCTCAATTTCCGTTAAAGTCTAATATAAATTCTTATATATGATGCTCACTAAATGTTAAACCTTTGCAAAATATGTTTAAGTAAAGGAATTCCTAGAGAGGAAACTATTTTAAGTAGCAAATACATTTTGACAAAATCTAAACGATCATGAAATAAGTAAATCACCAGACGCCAACCAAACCGCAAAAATTCATTTATTTCCCTTTCATTGTAACGAAATGTGAAATAAGCAATTAAGAAGAAATTCGCGCTTTACTCGTGTAATTTCCTTAAAAAATGCTAATAAATTTGATTTTCTTGTATCATATATATATATATATATATAAATATATACAATTTTTTTTTTTTTTTTTCGTATTTTGTAAATATATTATATTTTAGCACGATACAAAGACAGGTTGTGGGGTGGATAAATTTTTCTATGTTGTTTGCTGCCGGAGTAAAGAGACTTTTAAAGGTAAGAGTGTACGATTTTCGCCATAGAACGTTTCTTTTAATATAATATGCCATCACTGGCTCGTGCTGTTTTCACTTCTTATCTATCTTTTGCTATCGCCCTCCTTCCTCCTCCTCCTCCTCCTCCTCCTCCTCTTCCTCCTCCTGCTGTTTCCATTTTCAACGCCTTTATTAATATTTGCTTGCGGTAAAGTAATGAAATCTAATTTAAAATGAATTAATTTTATTTTTTCGTTAAAATTCCATTTTGCTACCATTGCTGCTACTGGTACTCTGTACGCATATAATAATAACAACAAAAGCGAGAAATTATTAATAAATTTCTCTAACACTAGCAGCAGAATACAGTGAACACAAGAAACCATTAAAACCTTACTCGGGATTTTTTTTTTTTTTTCTTTTTTTTTATTGATGTTGACTTTGCTTTACGCTAAACCATAAAAGAGGTAGTTTTCGGCAAATGGGGATTTAGGCGAGGACGCTTCAAATGTGATGAGCATAATTTTCATTTCACGTCGTGATGATAATAATTTCTTATTCATTTTTCTGGCATGAGGTTTTCTATTTATCTTTTTCAACAAGTATACCATACACCAACAACACTCATAGTGTAATAGCATTCTCTTCTTAACTATAATGCATAACGCTGTTAAGTGGTTTTTACTATTTTTTTTTTTTGTTTTTAATGTTTTTATTTAAGTCCTACCTACTGTCACTTACAGTTTACTACCTATAAACAGAAGTAAGAAGGCAGCTAGCTTTTCACTAACTCGTAAAAAAAAAAAACATAAATAAAAATAAGGTTACATCCCACGCGGGACGAATATTTTAGTATCTACTGCATATCAAAAGAATATAGAAGAAGTCCTCCATTTGAATTTATGTATTAATATGAGAATAAAAACCGTTGTGTAAATAAACTTCGAACTTGCAAAAAAAAAAAAAAATATATATTTTTTTTTAAATAATTTCGTTAAAAGTAAAAAGGCCTAATACGCAAATAAAAAAAGTTATAAAGGGACCTGGGCTACGGTGTATAGGTGCCCTATACACTTTTATTCATTTAACAACTTTTCAAAATACTGCGCATTATATGAGAAGTAATCGAAAACATGGTCCAATTCGAACAATTTTCAATAGGTTTCGTCCTTGGGCCAAGACATGTCAGTGTATCAAAATTCACCAAAGTATCTCAAAAATTTGTGATTTGTAGATTGAATAGAGGAAGCAAAACGCACAGACGGACGGACAAACAGATCTAGATCGATTCAGAATCCCTTTCTAAGTCGACTGATACCATGAATCTCAAGTCTTTCTGGGTGTCGCATGTATCCACGAAAATTTAGCATACCCTTTTGCCATATAAGTGGTGTAGGATACAAACTTTACTTTTCGAAAATATTTGTGAAAAATCGATACGAAATCCATATTCGCGACCAAGAAAATGTTTACCACAAATGTTACATACCCAGGCAGACGAACAGACGGACAAACACATATAGATAAATCGTGTGAGAATTCCATAATCGAATATATATGTGCAATTACGATTATGTTATCAGGTAGAGAACCTTCCTTACGTTTTTTTTTTTTGTTTTTGGACTTTGCGGCAACATACAATATTGACTCGAAATGGCCGCACATACTAATAATACCAGTTTTCTTTATTACATTTTTAAAGGAACACATTCGCGGCAATAGGTTCGAGTCAACAAAAGCCATAACAAGTCAGTCGGTAAAGCTGCCATCATTATCAATATCTTTCTCATTTCCCCACATATGAAAAACACTTCCTGAGTATTTGGTTTTATTAAACAATTAAAAACACTACAAAAGGCCACCATTTAATACCCTACATCAACCTTAAGCTGCTAATATAAGGACTTTTCAAAATAAGGTGTTATATGTGGGAAGTGATTCAAAGTGTGGTCTGATCCAAACCATTCTCAATAGAGTTCGTTCTTGGGTCACAATACATCAGTATATCAACTTTCATCAAAATATCTTAAAAATTGCGACCTGTAGGTCGAACACAAGCAAAGAGCACCGACGGACGGACGGACAGACTTGATTCGATTGAAATTACTGACTTTCAGTCTAGATCAATATAATGAAAAATGGGTCCATGTCAAATCTTTCGGCGTATTGCATACATCCGCACAAACATAATATACCGTTGTATGACAAGTGATGTAAAGTATAAAAAAGAATATAAGAGAAAGTTTACTCGCTTTGCGTATTTCACGTGATATAATAGAAAAGATGTTCTAATTTATGAACCAGTAGACCGTAAGACATGAAACTTTTGTCGGATTTTAATATAAATGTAATAAAAGGCAATCACTGTTACTTAACACATTCAAGTTAGTCAAGTTACGCAAGTTAGTCAAGTCAGCCTAGTAGGTCAGTCGAATAATGGAAGAAATGCGACGATTTTTGCAAGATATAAATTCGATACAAAGCCAAACGTAGACGACATCCAAACACTAAATTTTAAGTGAGGACGGGGAACTAGGATGATATAGTGGGAATCAAGAATCCATAAGATTTTATCCCGAGGTAATGCGAAAGAGGTTTCAGTGTAGGCCTACGCTAGTTGTTAGTGCGCTAGTGGCAGCGTATATGCAAAATAAAGGTAGAAGGACGGACGCACGGATGGACTTGCTTAAATCGAAATTATCGAATTGAAAAAAACCGCTCCTTTTTTTTTCTCAATTGCATACATAGTTCAGTAAGTAATGAAAATTTACTAGAAAAGTTGTTGTTTAAAGAGGAAACGACTCTTCAGTTGAAGTCTTACTAAGCACTCGTTTTTGAAGTTACGTGTATTGGGAGATCTTGAATTTACGCGATAAACGCTTTAGCATTTATTATTTATTTATTTAGTTTTTTAATTTAGTCTTACTTTTTGCTTTATTTTATATTATATTCATTCGCAATACATTAGAGCTTTTTTTTCTTTGCTTTCTTTTTTTTTTTTTTTTTGGTTTGTTATTTTCTGCAAAAACCTTTAGCAAATCTCGGTGTGTTTTATTATATGTTGTAATGTTGTTGTTGTTGTTGTTGTTGTTGCTGTTGTTCACTTATTTATTTATTTATTTTTTTTTTTTTTGTTTTGTTCTCAACAACAGCAATTACACTCGACCTGAATAGAGGAGAGTTGGAAACTTAAAGGTACACACCATATAACAGCAGAACACAACATAACACAACACAACACAATTGTTTCCGATTTCCAACAACAAACCGCAAGGCAATTTGGTGTACAGACAACGAAAAAGGGAACCAGATATACGCATATAAACACATAGAAATGCACACAAATACACAAACACATGTATATACAAACGTATATACGTGTGTCGGTAAGTCTATATTTATACAGGTCTATGTATGCGTGTGTGTGTGTGTGGTTTGTGTGTTCGTATGTTTGCCAGTGCATGCTGAATGCTTGTTTAATACTCTTGTATGTGCTTGTGTTGTTTTTTTTTTTTTTCTTTTCCTACCACTAGTTATTGGGTTAATTACTTTGTACTGAATTTACTCAACACAATCACGATTTCAATCCTTTTATTCTTTGTATTCTGTTTTTCTGTTTTTTTTTTTTTTTTTTTTTGCTTATTTCTTCTCTTTCTTGTACAACTTAAACGTTTATAATTAAGGTTTAACAGTTTTGAGAAAATGTAGAAATGGCAGAATACTTATATCAAACACACGCATATACATATATATTCATGTAGAACAAATATATTCATATACATACCTGTCTGCTTTCTTAACACCTGACCACATGGCTGCCGAAACCGGTGGCATAAAGCGTAAATTGCCGACAGGAGGTGAGGCATACGGTATACCGCGATATGCCTCAACCGGATCTAAGTGGCGGCCATCTAATTGTACAATTACACCTGATAAAGCACCATTGCGTGTATGTATAATGCGCGATGAAAGTTGTGCGGGTAATTGGTCATTTTGATTGCTATTATTGTTGTTGTTGTTGTTATTATTGCTATTACTATTTTGACGACTGCTGCGTGAATTGGCTGAAGACAATGACGCCGAGGAAGTTGATGACGATGATGATAAAGATAATGAGGAACTAGAACTGGAACTGCTACTGACAGCTGTTAACGATAACGATACTGGTACCGAATTTACAACTGAGGCTGATGATGATGAAGTTAATCCGGGGGCAGCTGCACCGGATGTCGCCGCTGTTAGCGATGAAGATGACACTAACGATAATAATGATGATGATGATGATGATGACGACGACGCTGACGATGATGCTAGTGATGTTGAGCCACTACTGCTAGTCGTGGCAGCTGATAATAAAGCTGAAGTTCTTATATTTAGGTTATTATTGCCTAGATTGTGGTTGTTTTTATTGTTGTTGTTGTTGTTGTTGTTGCTGTTGCTGTTACTGTTGCTGTTGCTATTGCTAAAGCCAGAAGAAGAGCTTTTATTGTTAAGACCGGAAGCGGAAACAACGCTACCGTTTTCTATACATGTTGTAGTTATTAATAGCAGTACCATTACCACTTTCACTAGCAACAAAGTTGAAGGTGCCGCTATTAAATCGACTTTTCTTCTATACTTTCTACGCCCGGTTGTCGTATTTATGCTTAAGGATGATATTTGATTTGTTGTTGTTTTTGTTGTTGTTGTTGTTGTTATTGTTGGTGCTATTGTTATAAGTTTAGAAGGCAATATCGTTAAAATTACACGTTGCATACCATTATGATGCAACTTAATCATTATTATGATTGTTATTAAAGCGGCTGCTTTAACAAGCGGCCGCTTTATTGATGGAAAAGCAATTTTCACAGTTATGCTTATGTTTGCTTAGGTTTCCTTTATTGGTGAAATTAATCATCAAATGATGGCTACAAAATAAAGTTAGATTTTTATCGTTGTTGTTGTTGTTGTTGTTATTTTTGTTCTTCTTCGTGTTATTATTATTATTATTAATGTTGTTATTGTTGTTTCCAGGCAATGATTGCGGCAGCATACAAAACACTTGTAACGGTAACTTTTACAAGAGTCTCTTGACGTAAGAAAGAGAGGGAACGAGAGAAGAGGTCTTTATTTTCTATGCTATATATGTGGAGCAATTTTGTTCGTTCTATCCCCCTCTCTCACTTACTTTCTAAGCGAACTCTTCATGTATATATAAATTTTAATAATTTACGAGATTTTTATGTTTTTTTTTTTTTTTTTTTTTTTTTTTATTAGAAAATCCTGAAGAAGGTTTTATGCTTTCTCTCGCTAGTTGTTGTCTTCCGTACAAACACCAACATGCACATATAAGTAGTAGTAGTTGGTTGCAATGGTAGGTATATGTTTAACTCTTATATAAGAACACTTTTAACACACTTGTATGTACATATGCATATCTACCGAATGAAATGCATATGCATTAACGTGCTTATGTGTATACAACTTACAACATACAAGTGGTGCTTCATCTCTATAGCACGTTATGCTCATGCGGCTCATATTCACGTGAAACCATGTGCGTCACTTTCATTTCGCATTTTCTATATGTAGCATATCATTTGTTCTGAAGTATATATATATATATATATATATGTGTATAAGTAAGTAAGTAAGTAAGTATACGTTCGTACGCTGTTATTATTGCATGCCTGTATATGCGTGTTTATACGTACATGTATATATATATATATATATATATATGTATATATATATATGCGTGTGTAATGTGCATGTAAAGCTTGTTGTATTGTTCTAGTGTCAGAGACAACAATTTCCTTCTTGTTTTGAGTAAGTAAGCTGAAGTGTTTAAGAGCATGTGTGTTTGTGTGTATGGGTGTGTGTGTGTGCGAGTTTGTTTAATATGCGTTTGTAAATTTGTGCGTATATCTGTCTATTTAGGTGGATACTTGGTTATTCAAAATTCGCCCAAAGACAGTTGTGTTGGCAACAAAAAATTTTTTTGCTTTTTTTCTTGTTGTTTTCCTTTTCTATGCAATTTTCTTCCATCTACTCTGCTAGGGCTTCCAGCACCCGATCTTTCTTTTTCTTAATCTACTCGACAACAACGGCAGTGTTGCGAGTATATTGCCTGCGTTTGGTTGCACCTGCTGCTGCTGCTGCTGTTGTTCTTCTTGTTGTTGTTGTTGTTGCTGCTATACAGTTTTCAGTTGACATGTTCATTTTGTTCAGCATTATTTTGCTTTGTTCTGTTTGGTACTGTTCGTTGGCTTTTTTTGCAGTTGTTGCTGTTGTTGCTGCTGTTCTTATGCGAATTTTATCCTTGCTGAAGTGTTACATAGTTAAAGGTAGTGAGTGTTAGTGTTAAATGCACTCACATTTGCAGTGAGGATATGCTGTTATCCTCCTCCTCTATTATGCCTGCCTCCCGGCAGTGTGGCATTTTATGAGCAACTAAGTAATCTTTTGCTTTTTTCTTTTTCTTCTTTTTGTTTTTTTTTTTTTTCTTTTTTTGTTGCTGTCGTTATTGCTGTTGTTCGTCGCTGATGATGCTTTCTCTTATTCTATGAAACGGATACTAGACTTTATACTCGTACGGCAGGTAGATATATGCCTGTGCATCTGTCAGAGGCTATGTCTGTTTAAATTTGGGTTTATATGCCCTAAATTAAATATTTAAGTGAAACCGAAAACGACCTGAAAAAAAAAAAAATGAAAATATTCGCATGAAATTAATCTTTTCTTGAAAAATTTTAACTATAAAATTGTAATGAAATTATTTTCAAGAAATTTTTCTTAACCGGGATGTTTTTCTGTTTTATAAAACTAAAGTTTGCATAACTAATAATACTTTAAATAATTTACTTGAACTTATATCAAGATATGTTGAAATCAGTAAAGAAGAAAGATTTTTGTTTGAATGTTAAACTTGTTTTAACTTGCGTTAGATGATAGAAATTTTAATAAAAGTCTTGCTTGTCTGTTCAAAAAAAAAAAAAAAAAAAAAAAGAGGAAAAGAAAATCAGAATTTGGAACAGTACTTTACTCTAAAAATAAATTAGGGCAAGGTTACTAGCGCTACACCACCCTACGGACTCTGTTCGTATGATGAATTTTCGAAATGAGGCTTTATATCGGAAGTGATCCGATCCAAACTATTTTCAACAGCTTTCGCCCTTGAAGATATGTTAGTGTAATCAATTTCATCATACTATTTCAAAAATTCCGGCATGTACATTGTGCACAGGAAGGCAAGACGGACATACGGATAGACAAGCTTATATAAATTCAGAAAGTGATTCTGAATAGATCGTTATAAGAAAAGGTGGATTTATCTTAAGTCCTTCTGGATATTCCATACGTCCGCACGAACTGAATACGCCCTGTACTTGTACAGTGGTATAGGGTACAACAAGGCATTATATGGCAATTGGTTGAAGAAGCGATCCGATCCGAACCATTTCTAATAGTATTTCTACTTGGGCCAAAACATTCGCGAAAATGTTTCCAAATTTGCAACACAACAAAACAAGCCGGGTACACAGACCGACAAATTTAGATTGACTAAGAATCACTTTCGGTGTAATAAAAGGTCTTTCCCTCTCAAGTGTTTTTGCAAAATGCAAAAGTTTAAACTTGACCAGAAAAGTAAAACTTGACCGTAAACAATAGGTTTGAGTTGTAAAGTTTAAAAATCTACAGGCTTTAGTAGGAGCATATAAATAAATTTGAACTTCGATATAAGGGATATGTACAACAACTCAAGAACAACAATTCCTTAATTCTTCAATTTTAAGAGACTCATAAGCAGTTCTCAGGGACAAGTATAACTAATTCAAGGGCTATTACAAATTAACTACAATTAAAAATTATTATATGGGGAAATACGTAGTAGATGAGTACAATTTCCATTTAAGAAACACTGGTAGCATAGTGTACGTTATTTGGTTCTTTCATTTGTTGAATCTTTTGTTTCGATTGCAATCAAGCAAATAATCAATGGCGCAATAACTGTTGTTCATATCAAAAGTCCCTGCGATATGTATTAGGATTTATTGTGAAAGATTTCTTATTGACTCGTGTCATTCAGTTCTTTTTCTGTAGAAAGGCGTGCGGGTTTCCCCTTCCTCGAACAGACAGACAGCCTAATGTTGCACGTTTTTCTTTTCACAAAGGCTACAAAGCAATGACTCGTTTAGTTGGTCAAAAGAGAGACCTTACTATGAAATATAGAATGGCTGCAGCGAATGGATAAATCCAATGTTTTGGATTTTCAATTGCTTTTATTGTTAAATTTACTACTTTCGGTGGATTGGATTGGTTGTGGCAGCCAACGTGTCTGAGAATATGATAATCCAACTAATGTTTAATGCCCTTATTATTTTATATTTTTCATTGATAGATAAGCAATAGGACGATCAGGGTTAGCAATCGACTGAAAGCAACATTATTCATAACTATATCTTACATAAGAAGTTTGTGGTACAAGGGTGTGTGTATGCCATCCATAGGACTTGACCGAGGTTTTATAATGCCGATCGGTAAGGAATTACTTCCGTTCTAAGACTGTCTGTCTGTGTGTCCATATTGTATTCTTGCATTTAGCCGGCAGTTTCGCAATTTTTCAGATTTTTGATGGCGAACTGTTTCAGATCGGAACCCATTCTCGATCACTTCCCACACAGAACCTCATTTTGAGAGTGGCGCGAGTTGTAGGATATAGATTGTTTTTAATAACTAACAAATAACCATTTCTTGCATTTAGTCACACAATTAGTTTTTAATGAAATTATTTCTAAAAATTTGCTTTAATGTAATTCTTCTTAAGCCTGCGTAATAAGTCATTAGTAATCGTTTTATTCCCATTTCTTATTTCCTTTCCTGCCTTTTTCAAATAATTTCTTTAAAGTTCTTGGGAGAAGAGGAAGAGTAAGAAATATAGCAGCTTACTTGATGACTTACCTAAAGTACATAATTAGTCGCGCGATGCATAGGTATCTGTAACGATTTGCTCTCATTTTACTTAATTAAAGTGTTTCGCCTGTAAGCGACATCATTATCAACTTTACTAACAATATGAGTTTCTTTCGTCGAATAAATTTTTCCCTTCGCTTAAGGAAGATGTAATTGGAACTAATTTCTGTTGTTGCACACATATTATCCTTTGCGGGTATGTAAGTAAATGCGTGCGTAGATGCGGTGCGTGCAAGCGTGTGCCTGTAATTAACCTTTAAAAGCTCTTTAATATATGTAATGAATAAATTCATCGTGCATATGAAAACTATAAAGGGGAGCGTACAAACGAAGTTATTTGCTGTGGTATTATTGAGGTAAACGCAATTGATTTATTCATTAATTCCTCAGCAAATATTCTTAATATGGTCGTTAGATATATAATGCTTGACATCAATTGGCATTGAGGGGGAATTTTAATTATCTTTCATTGATTGTGTGGTAAATATTTGTGCACGGAGAGAATAAATTATTAAGATTCAATTTCAAGCAAACTTTACTTATGTACTATCGAATTTATCAAGTGATTATAACAATTAAGCCTAAGCTTGCAAGAATTGTGATCATTCGTTAATTTCCGAATACGAATATTGGGCTAAAAGCACAACAATTTTATTCTCCATATGCGGAGCCGAATAGATAGGAATCGCAATTATGAGCTGTAAGTGCTTGCTGTAAGCCTTTCGCCTTAGCTGTAGTGAATGCTCAGTCGGTAATGGATTGGCCACACGAACACTGACCTGCTTTGAATAACCTGACTCTTCCTTTCCTTCTCCCTAGTTCTTTCTGACTGTCATTCTGTTATACGTATAGAGGATATCGCCCGACTGATTAGTCATATAGGCATAGACAGGAAGAAAAAACTTGAAGCTTACGAGCGTGGACTTTCTTTAGAGATCCGCGACTGTGTGCAAGACAAAGTTTAAATACTTCAGCCGAAAGTTTCTCTGAACCTGTTGGTATCCTAGAGCATCGGCCTAGTTTGGGCTATGTAGTGCTAATATACGTACATCCAGGGCTTGTAATAGAGTTGATGCATAGCGGAAAAGAGAAAAGAACTGCAGACTTAAGGTTGCTATCCGGCATAGTATGCTGACAGAATGGGAGCAGAAATTAGAAAACGACTTAAGACGAAGGTGGAGCAACACCCTTATGCTAAACATAGAACAATGGGTGGGGAGGAACAATGGAAAGCACTCAATATCTTCCTAATCCAATTTTGTACTGGTCATGGAAATATTTCGAATTATTTGCGCCGTTTCAACTTGCAGATAACGCCGCGAGTTGCACACTGTTTTCGTCTATTCGGCTTGGGAATGTTTGAGAGACAGGCGTTTGAGATCTTTTAAGCCAAGTAAGCTAGCGGTCATGTCAATGGACACTGAAAGATGAAAGCAATGCACCAGTTTTTTGCAATAATTCGATATAAAGCCACACGAAGGCGACAGCCGAACCCCTAATGTAAGGCGACGACGGAGAAGGAAGCGCGATATAATGTGGACCAAGAATACGTAAGGATCCATCTCGAGGTATTGCGAGCGATTCCTATAGAGGTTTTACGCGAGTGACTAGTAGGCAATGTGAAGCCACTACATCCATAAAAAAAGAAAGTTAGGCTGATGTTAAGGTACATCCAGAACATATGTCCTAGAGCCATTAAAAAAGAATAAGAAGAAGAAGACGTATTGTTTATCAGTATCAAATGGTGAATCGATTTAAATATGTCCGTCTGTACGGCTGCGCAATGTCTGCTGCAAACATTCTCTTGGCCACCAAGATAAACCTACCGACTGCAACTTCAACGCAAATCGTGGAAGCTCTTGCACACAGCCTGGTATTCAAAATGGGCCAAATCAGTCGCAAAACGCGCTCACAGTACCACGTAAACTGAGAGCAGCTCTGTGCTGGAATAAAGAATTCGTTTTTTGCTTGTTACTGATTAACTATAGCGGATCAATGCAGAAAGATTTTAACATATATTCAATGCAATATCTCTACAGGAATGGAAAATATTGGCCACACCTAACCAATCTTGTGGTGTGTCATTATGTCATTTTTTTTAAATACCTGTAAAATGCGTAGAAACAAGATTATAATAATATATACACTCTTGGCAATTTTAAATTTGAAGAGCACCTAAGCAAGTCCGTTGATTCGTCTGTCCGTTTGTCCGTCCGCCCAACAGTGTAAAATCAAAAATAAAGATATCGCCTACAAGTTTGCATATTACGATTTTGGGAGTGATTTAAACTTTTCAAAGTACACGCCTACAACGTCCACGCGCCTGTGCGACAAAAGCTTTTATTTTGAAAATAAAAAAAAAATCGGTCTCGCCCACTTCATATTATAGAGAATAAAAATTGAGCTCTTTTTGCATTTTTGATCCGTTTTAGGAAAACGCTGAGGGGCATAAAAAATTTGGTCACGACCGAATATAAATTTCTTACTTGTTATTTTTTATTTCATCACTGCCTACAATTACGCACTTCAGACGTATTAAGCAACACCCCCCTCAAGGTTAAAGGCTTAAAATACGCAATTATAAAAGAGATCATCAAAGCCCAGCCAACAAAAGCTAACGGTTTTTAGGTTTCAAAGGATTTTAGGGTACTTTTAGGCTTAAAGCACTTAACAAGCGAATTTAAGTCTTACCATTAAGCTATGACTCTAAAGCAAAGAATATC